AAGATAGATGTGAGAGAGAGAGGGAGGGAGGGAAGGAGAAGGAGAGGGAGAGAAGAGATGTGTGTGTGAGAGAGAGAGAGAGAGAGAGGGAGAGGGAGGGAGGGAGGGAGGGAGAGGGAGAGGGAGAGAAGAGATAGATGTGAGAGAGAAGGAGGGAGGGAGAGGGAGAGAAGAGAGTGAGAGGGAGAGAAGAGAGATGTGAGAGAGAAGGAGGGAGGGAGAGGGAGAGAAGAGATAGATTTATGAGAGAGAGAGAAATGGAGGGAGAAGGAGAAGGAGAGGGAGAGAAGAGATAGATGAGAGAGAGGAGACATGATATGTGGATGGAGATAGATAGATAGATAGATAGATAGATAGATAGATAGATAGATAGATAGATAGATAGATAGATAGATAGATAGATAGCCACTGTCCCGATCGAAGGGGCCTTACCTGCAACTGCCAGACGCTCTGGCTGTACTCGGAGACGTTGGTAACGGTTTCACTCATCAGGGCAATCAGCATGTTGAGCAAGAGGATGTAGGTCAGGATGACGAAGAGGAGGACCAACAGCATCGCAATGTCACTGTACTTCAACTTCTCGTTGTACTCCAGGTCGCCCATGCCGATGGTGAACCTGAAGAGCTCCAGAGCAGCCTGAAATAGCCCCGAATATACGGCCTGGTCTTTAGAGTCGTCGCTGAGCGGGAGGGACTCGTTGCGGGCGGGATGGGGAGCGTCCCCGGTGAGAATGACGAGAGCTGCAAGGAGTCGTTGGAAGTTTCAGCCCTTCCTCCGCGCAACTTTTGGGCAACTTTCTCCGTTTAAGGGGGCAGGAGACCCAAAGTGGCTGGTTGATCTTTGGAGGCCCCGTTACTTGTTCATCTGAGCTTATTGTTTCATTTTTGTTTGCATCAAGATCCCAAGAAATGTGGATTCTGAATTCTTTACTACATGCTCTTTCCATGGCTGAGTCTTTCACTCATTGATTCATTCCTTCACTCACTGATTCATTCATTCATTCACTCACTCACTCATTCATTCCTTTATTCACTCATTCACTCATTTATTCACATTCACTTATTCATTCACTCACTCATTTATTCATTCACTCATTCGTTCGTTCACTCATTCATTTATTGATTCATTTACTCACTCATTCACTCATTTATTCACTTGCTCATTTATTCATTCACTCATTCGTTCACTCGTTCACTCATTCATTTATTAATTCATTTACTCGCTCATTCTCTCATTTACTCATTCATTCACTCATTCACTCGCTCATTTATTCATTCACTCACTTGTTCACTCATTCACTCGTTCATTTATTAATTCATTTACTCACTCATTTACTCACTCATTTATTCATTCACTCATTCATTCATTCCTTTATTCACTCATTCACTCATTTATTCACATTCATTCATTCATTCACTCACTCATTTATTCATTCATTCATTCATTCACTCATTCATTTATTGATTCATTTACTCACTCATTCACTCATTTACTCATTCATTCATTCACTCATTCACTCGCTCATTTATTCATTCACTCATTTGTTCTCATTCACTCATTCATTTATTAATTCATTTACTCATTCACTCATTTACTCATTATTCACTCATTCACTCGCTCATTTATTCATTCACTCATTTGTTCTCATTCACTCATTTACTCATTCATTCATTCACTCATTCACTCGCTCATTTATTCATTCACTCATTTGTTCTCATTCACTCATTCATTTATTAATTCATTTACTCACTCATTCACTTATTTATTCATTCACTCATTCACTCATTTATTCATTCACTCATTCATTTGTTCACTCATTCACTCATTCATTTATTAATTCATTTACTCGCTCATTCACTCATTTATTTATTAATTCATTTACTCACACTCATTCACTCACTCATTTATTCATTTATTCATTCACTCATTCATTCGTTTACTCATTCATTCATTTATTCATTCCTTTACTCACTTATTCACTCATTTACTCATTCATTCATTCACTCATTCATTTATTAGTTCATTTACTCACTCATTCACTCATTCATTCAGTCACTTGTTTGCTCGTTCATTCGATTTCTATGGCCACCCTTCTCAAACAAGAGACTCTGTCTGGATTCAGCTGGTGGACCTTCTGTCTGCTCAAAACTGAAATCTGCCCATCCTTTTTAAAGTACACCTGCCACAGAAATCCT